AAATTTGATATTTAAAACAAGACATCAGGTTTTAGACTAGAACTATTCAAAGTTAACTTTGATTCATGCTATAAAGAATTACCTCTTCTGACCAACCCCCTTCAAACTATCTGATGAACTTCAACTCACTCCCAAGACTCTGTTCCTATGTCACATATTTTGGGCAGGATTTATTATTCCCCCAGACAATTCCGGATGTCCTTTTCCATTCTCTAATAGCACATTCACTTAATGTGTCTACATCATAGAAAAACTGCTGTGTATGCTTATGCTCTTGTTTCTACCACTATCCTGTGAGCTCCTTGAGGCCAAGATCCATCTCTTCTGTTTGTATTTTTCAAGCTCTTCATTCAGTGCACAGCATAGAGAAGTGTTCAATAAGTATTACAGAATAAATGGATGCCTCTCTCTACCAGTTATCAAGGCTGTGTTAGGCATTAAATTCTTATTATTCTCCTTATGGATGCAAATATTATCTTCCAATTCTTCCTCACTGAATGTTCCTCCCATATAAACTATCTTTCCTAAGATGGTTATTGAAAAAAAGGTGGGAAGGGGTATATAATTTTAGTCCCTAACTTTTCACTTACATATATTTTCTCTTGATTTTAGGAGAGAGGACTGGATCATCTCTCTTTTAATGACTTCTCTTTCTGATCCCTGAATCAGGCTGAGAAGTGTCACTCCCTTGGCCAGTCTAGAGATTATAATGCTAGCCCCAGCTCACTTGCGCGCTCTCTCTCTCTCTCCCTCTCTCTTCTCCAGGACACAGTTAAATGAGGTCAGTTCATCTCTCTGAGTCACAAATAGTTCATTTTGTAAATGATGGTAAGGCGCTAGGTGCTTGTGAGGCATTGCCAGGTCTAGTTCTGCAGCCTCTGAGTGGAGTGTTTCCAGAGTATGATGCTGCTTCACTGGACTAGGTGTTTCACATCTTGTTAAATGACTGTAAAGTGAAACCCTTCCCCATGAATGTTTAATGAACTTAAGGGAATGCCAGACGCAGACTATTCATTTGTTAAACACTGCAATTTGCAAAGAATTTCAAGTAGTTAACTTGGGATTCAAGATAAAATAAAGACAGATTTGCCTGATATGGTGTCCTACTCTGAAATTTTCCCTCCAAGGATTATAGTGTACCTGGATAACCCATCCACCCTCTGTGTAGTAGAAATAACCATAGAATTCCTATGCTAGGTGTTCAGAATTTCCTAAGGGACACATCATGCAGCTTGGACCTTGGACTCTGGATTTCCTCACTGCCCTTGACATTTGGGAAGGATAATTTTCTGGGCATTGTGGGATATTTATCAGCACTTTTGCCCTCTGCTCAGAGATGCTTCTCACGTTTTAACACCCAAAGTCTTTCTGGTCTTTGCCAAAAGTTCTCTGGGGCAACACTGCCCCCTGTTAAAGCACTGAGTTATAAAGATGTGAGATGGGCTTTCTGCTACTCAGTGGATGTCTGATAGAGACGAACTTTCTTAAGCTTTGAGTCCCATTTTCCTCTTCTGCACATAGTGGGTGTAAATTAAGTAGTCGTTGTTGGGACTAAGTGAGTCAATGTCTCTCTATTATTTAGTATTCTGTGTATGTACTCAATACATGTTATTTGCTATTATGATTGTCACTATTTCATTTATCATTGTTTGGTTTTAACATCGACATTGGTATTGCCTCCTAGATCTTGCCAGAAGAAAAAAATATGGACCTACAAAGAAAAACTGCTTTATTAAGTTTTCCTCAATACATTTGCTTGTTACTTTTCATGCAGAAATTTTGAGCCACACATCAGATTACTGCTTGCTCTAAGACTAGAGTTACCTGGCCTCCAGCTGTATAGATGTCCTTGTATACTTCTCCTTGTATATCTTGAGCATAACATTGAAGGAAAGCAAATCTTAAAAGTTTCTGTTCCTTTTCAATGTACTATTGATATATACTCTCCATTACTGTTTTCTCCCATAACGTATGACAAGAAAAACTACAAATTGCTATTTGATTCTTACAACAAAATTATGAGCAAGAGTATCAGCATGGACATAATTCATCAAACTGGAAATTTGACTAGAAATATATGGACTGAGATTGTACTACACTCTCAAATAGTTAAATGTAAATTAGAAAAAAAAAAACCAGAAAATATTTTCTCCTATTAAGTTAGCAAAAGAAATGTTGACCAAAGTATAACAAAGCTGCTAGTGACCCATGTTACTTTCTAGCACTGAAACTGATATGTGCCTTTGGGAAAGCAACTTACTCATTCTAGTCTAGTCTGGTTAAAGGGACCTTCTCAGGCAGTCCCTTGGGCCCAAGCTGGCAAAGTGTAGAATGCTATGGCTAGCATTCCTGTGTCTCTTCAATGCACCTCACTCTCCTTTTTCAGAGTCCTTAAATGCCTCCTTCTCCTATCTATTCTCTGCCTGCACTCCCAGCCCAATCTAAAACTCATGATCCCTTGAAATGTATTGTCCCAGCTGACCACACTGCAACTCAGGGAAAAAATGTCCTATATATATTCTCTGTATCCAAAACAGGATGAATATAAAAAGACACTTTCCCACATCTTATCTTAGGCCCTGTGAGAATGATCCACTTGAGCCCACGGTCTGCTTCCCTGTGCCAACATACAAAATTGTGGATATGGGTGGGCTGGAGAAGGGAGAAGAGGGAGAAAAAAAGAAATTAAAAGCCAATGCGCCCAAAGATCTTTTAAGTTTTGGAACCTCTACATTTTGTAATTTCTTGTTATTCTAATCCTAATAGTTGCAATCAAACGAAGGGTGGTGGAGCATATGAGTGAGGAGTTTATCTTAATATTCCTTTAATAGTAAACCACAGGAAAGAACACGAATGTCTACAAGGAGGGAAGGACGAGGACATTGTGACGTGGCCACTTTGTGGACAATTATGCTATCTCCCAAATGAGTTTGTGGAGAGCATAAAGCAGACAGAAAATGCTATTGATCATCTGTTTGGTGAAAACAGAGGATACAAAATTGTGTGTGTGCTCTCGCTGCAACCCTGTAAAATCCATCAGGACTGACCGAGACTATTCCCAACCAAACTCTAGACAGGCTCCTCTGAGCCCTCTTTTCTACTAGGCCTTAACTTTGGCCTATCAAAACTGCAGATTCCCAGCACAAATGACTTCACTCAATCATCCCCGCACTAAAAGTCTTGAGTAAACTCTAATATAGTCTCTAAAGGTTCAAGGCTTTGCCCCTGGAATAGCCCTAACCTTCCTTAAAAAGTCTGCCTAAGAAACAAAAACAAAAACAAAAACTCAAAGCCTCCAAAAGAATTTGCTGGTAGCTCTAGCCAATGCTGGAGGAAAGGCCACTGACCTCCCTTAAAAGGACTTACAATTGTAAACCACCCTTTGTCATTCTGAGATGTGTGTGTATCTCCTACAAACTCCTAAGGGAGTTTCTTTCTCAGGGACCTGAAAGCCATATCTTTGAAACGTAATCATTAGGAAGGATAGCATGTCAGCCTTCCGCTCTGTGGAAGTACAGAATCCTAAACTCAATTAACTGCCAGCCAACAGACGAAACTGACATGCACACTGATCATCTCTGTACTGTTTCACTTCCCTGACTCTGCCAAGACCCCACGGTTTCTGCTCCCCACCCCATTCCCTCATTCTCCCTTTGAAACAACCAGTCACCTCTGTACAAACTGAAGTTGAGTTCAGTTCATGCTGGACCTTCTTTCATAATGCAATAGTCTATTCCTGATTAAGACCTGCCTTACTATTTTAACCAGTGGCTGGCTTTGTTTATCTTCAGCAGGTCCAGTTGCAAAGGACTTGAAAGCCTCCGCTCCTGCATTTGTTTTAGGGCAGTGAGATAATACTCAAAAATCATTAGCAGAAACATTCGCTCTGTTTCAGAGAACAGTCCCCACATAACTATGATTATAAGTTTAACAAAATTTGGCTGGGAAGCAATTCTGATTTATGAATTCCACATTAAACATCTAAGTACATCTGTTATGCATAACATAATGGTGACTTTTGGGTAATGATTTTTTAGAATCACAAATGATGTATAAATTCTCAGTGATTTATGCATTGGGAGGGGCATGAATGTGTCCTGGATGATTGCTTATTATACTCAAATCCTAGGTTTATACCATGGCTTTTGTTCCTTTTGTGTCTCGGAATCTGGATGTGCAATCTTACACAGGGGCAAAGAATTTGCTACCCTGAGAGGAATATTTCAGTATGTCTTAGATGATATGTGCTTGTCGTTAATTAAGTGTTTTGCAATATATCTCGGAAATGATTATAATAACATTAGAAAGAATGTAAGATTCAAAGAGCTTGTATTTCAAATTCTGGTATCTATTTAAGCCCTGGTATTAGGAAGCACTGACTGTGGGAATACAAGTCTCACTTCCCACCTGTCTTATCTTTGACCTCTCTTTCACCCCTTACCTTGGAGTTGCTGGAATATAGTACACGTTCTTGGGATTCCATGGTTTTACTTTTTCTGTTTTTTTCTAGTCTCTTGTCCTTTGCTCTTTGACTATACGATGAACATTGCACCAACCCATCTCCCTCCCTCTCTTTGGTCTACTCTCCAACCTACTGCAATGTCAACCATCTCAGCCCACATACCTCCTCTGTTCTGGCGTCTGTGTCCCTTACCACAGGTAAGTTCCCATAAGGTAGGGAGCATTGTATCCCTGGTGCCCAGCACAATTTCTGACACAGTAGGAATGTAATAAGTCATTATGGAACAAACAACTGGAGCTCTTTTTGCTTTCAGAGATGAATTTATATTGCAGAATATAATCAAGGGCTGAGATTTAAGTCTTCTCTGTTTCAGCCTATACACGTGGACATGTACACACACAGAACTGCAAAGTGACTTAAAGAAAAATCTACAAATACTGAAAAGAACACACACATCTGATCCCAAGCATCCCATCCCCCCCTGAACTGGAAACACTGAGACGGGCTGTAGGAACAGATGTATAGACAGGTAACTTACACTCTGCAGCTGGACATGATTCTTCACCAAGTTCTCTGACTTTGCCATTGTGCTGGATGCTTTGAGACTGTAGTTTTTACCATTTTGTGGTTCTTTCAGCTGCTCTTGAATTTGTTTAGCTTGTTTCCTGCAGGTTTAAATAAATACATGCATAAATAGTTACACAAATTTATTCTGTTTGTATTTGGGGGGTTCATTTGTTCCCAACATGTATGTTTGTCATTTGTTAAAGCTGGATGAACTCAGTTAATAAAGGAAAGCCTTCCTTCATTTTCAACACGCCAACCCCATTAGATAGCTTCTAATCTGGAAAGAAACTGGTATTATCCATAAACACCCGGAGATTCACACCCAATGGCACTCCAAAGGCAGGGATAAGCATAATGAATTTTTCTGGGCCGCATGGATGCAGAGGTCCCTAACCCTTGGTGCTCAGCTGTAAAGAATTAGAAATGCTCTGAAGAAGTAACTAGGGGAAAAATTTGAAGCTTAGAGCTACCAGCCACATATAACATACTTGCAGAGTTACATTTATATTTGTTATATTTACATTTATAAGCATGCATAGCTTGATTGCATAGCTTACTTATATACTGTATTGTGTATGTTTTCTCTTGCAGTTCAGAAACCGCTCATTTATTGTTACCATTAGTCCCAAATGTGAAGATTTTTATTTCCAGCTGGTAAATCACAGCAAAAATAGTTAACTCTTGAAAGACCACCTACTATGTGCCACGCATCATTTTAAGTGCTTTCCGTGTATGAACCCACTTACTCTTCATAGTAATTCTGTGTGATGAGGCAGGAACCTATACTCATTCAACAGATGAGAAAACTGAGGCACAGAGAAGTGAAATCATTTTCCCAGAGTCATATCGCTAGTAAGTGTTGGAGCTGGATGTGAGTCCAGCCCAGCTGGTTGCATACTGTGTAACCTCAACCACCACTTGGGACTGTCAAACCATTTGCCATGGTCCCACAGCTTCTCAGTGGGAAGGCTGAGATTGCTCTCGATCTCTGGACTCTGAGTGAGGTACTCCTGCCTGCATATGTGGGGTGACTGTTGTTTAAGTCAGGCAGTGGCTGCATCAGAAGGATGCAGCAATTTCCTGCCTTGTTAGCTGCTCTCTTCCAAGGGCTTTACAGCAACTATCTATCAGCAGAAGACTCAGTATCCACAACACACACACAAACACACACACACACACACACACACACACACACACACACACACAAACACTTTGCAGAATCATCCCCTCCCCCACCCCGAACTTCTTCCTCTTCCCAAGATCCCTGTGAAGGATAGAGCCTTTGTGGAGTGTGAGTACTGTCTCCTGCAGTGAGCTTGTGCTGGCAGGCAGCACTCTACAGAGAATGGGGTTGGCTGTCAGAGGGGTGGGACCCCCCCACCTTGGCTGTCCCAGGGGTGGGACCCTCTGCCACCCACCACTTTTGCTTTGATTTCCTAAATCAAACTGACTGTTTCCCTAAACTTCTCTGAGCCTTGGTTTCCTCATCTGTGCATGCAGTTGTAAAAGTCAACTTCCACGGACACTGTGGAAACTAAATGTGAGAACACCTGTAAAGTGCTGATCTGCTCCCCTTCTCATATTTAGCAAGCTTAGTTGGATGGACAGATCCTACAGGGGAATTAGAACACTGACTCAAAGATAAAACAAAGGATTGTATTAATTGCGTCACTCACAAGCAAGTTGACAGTATTGGCTACCCGAATTGGAGGCTCTGAGCATCATTAACTCTTCTGAATTTACAACACCAGTGTGATGTAGCTCTGTTTGTTTAAATATTTCTTTTTTATTTTCAATTGTTTGGGGGACTTTTATCTCCAGTACTTCTAGTTGCTTTAATCTAGTTGTAATAATCTACCTATTTCCTGACAGCTAATCTGTAGCCTATTGTTCAAAATAAATGTATCATATCAGCATTTTATGAAGCATGTTATAGCCACAAAATCCCATCAGGGATTCATTGATGAAGGAAACAGATCAGGTGATTCTACCTAAGTAAATCATTGGTGAGGCAGTAAAAGGGGGCTTGGCACAGAGGAAGGACTCAGTTACTCTCCTAAGGATGAAATAGTAGAAACATTAACAATCTTTTCAGTAATTCTATAATTCAGTGTCTGGGAAATGCCAACTTGAAAAGGAATTTTCCTTATAAAAATATCTGACTGCAATTTCCTAAATCCTTTTATAATTTGCTTTTCTGTACTGGCTTCTCACTCATTCACTCTTGACTCACTAATATTCCAGGATACACAGACTTTCTTTCCTTTCTGAACTGGCTTCCTTCTCTGTCATCCCTACTCTGCCCCAAACACACATATTTCTGCTCTTTCCTCCTTCACCCAACAAATGGGAACTGGGAGATGAGAAGCGTCTAATCACAATTCCATTTGCTCTCTTCATGAGAGTCAGTGCTCTAGGAAAGACAAGATATGGGCATTGCACACTGGGACCCTGCTAGCCTAACAATGTCAGTGTTAACATTTTATAGTCCATTGAGTTTTAAGTTTCTCTGGTCCAGTTCATTCAGCAATGAGATGTAAGTTGTGGAATGTCAGGTATCACAAGTCTAGGCATTATTTGTAATGTTGCAGAATGGGCTCCCAGGGAAGCAGGCACTGAGATGGAGATAGCATGCAGGATTTTTATTGGTGGGGGGTGCTCTTTGGATCCACCCCCGTGGAAGCAAAGGGAGGGATGCAGGACTGGGCCGAGGGAGAGATTGGAACATAATGCAGTCTCCGTGAAGAGCTCAGCAAATCCCATGGCGGGGGGAGGGGGAGAGGGTCTGAAATTGGCATGGCCTTGTACTCCAAATTGGGGCAAAGGTCTAGGCCTTCAGAGCCTTACACTGACCTGTCATTGGAGGTGGGCTCTCTTGGGTCAGAGCAAGGCAACTTTGATTATATTTGTTTTAGCAACTGGAGGACAAAGATCTTCACTGCCGAAGAGAATCGAAGCTGCATATCAGAGCATCCACCGCCTGTCCTTAATAGGCTTCCCTTGTTGCTAAAATCTTTGACCTCAGAAGGCCATAACCTACAGTTAGGGCTGGGTTTTACTGGGAGCACCGGTTCTCCTTTTTCCTTCTGTGTTTCTCAGTTGTTATCATTATTTGTCTCAGCTTCTGTCTGCTGGAACATCTCCTCTCCTATCCCAATTCTGTTTTTTAGAGTTAAATTGTGTTTTGTACTTCCAAAGTCTACTAAGGACTCCTACAGGCAGCCTCACTCTTCTTACCCATATGAGTTGAACATAAAAAGAAACCTAGAAGAATTTATAGTTACCATGTGAGCCCTATCAGCCAGCTTTGAATAGGTCAACTAATAGTTCCATTAATCACTTATGGGAATATATGGACTTATTAGGTATGATGAGAAGAGAATTTCTTTCATTATGTCCTTTAGAGTCGTTGCGGTTCAATTAACTCAGAAAATCCTCTAAATCCAAGGTGTTCATCACTTTGACCTCATCATGTTAACCACCTTCAAGCTTTCATCCGCTAATAATTTACTGTAATATTCCATGTGGAGAGGTCATGCCAAACCAAGGGTTCACAAGACAATGGACAAAGGACCAGAGTGGTGGGATCTGAGAGATTATGGGAGCTAAAACATCAATGACCAAGAGAATGTGAGCTTTTGGGTAACTCTTGACTTTATCTGGCTGGGACCTGTATATCCCAGTATATAGAAAGCTGGTTTAAGTGAATTTATTTAGAAACCAATGATGGAGAGATCATAGAATCATAGAAGACTTGGCATGTCCAAGATGAAGTCAAACAAATGACACACATGTCAACAAAGTTACAGTATGTGTGAAAGTAAGAAAATTTTGAGTAGAGTCTGTCTGTGTTGTTATCTCCAAGATCTAGGGATGAGAATTAGAATTTCAGGAATGAGTGCAAAGAAACATGTGCCAATGAGTTATAAAAATTTACATTGCTTTCAGCTATATAGATTAGATGCTTGGTGTGAGGTATAGTGTTCCTCTCAGGCAAAGAAAAATAAAGGAAGACCCTGCCTGGAAATTGTGCTAGAAGGAAATGCAGTCTAGGTCTCTAATGAGAAATATAACTCCACTTGGAAAAGGCTTCAATTCTTATTATTACTTTATTATTCTCACAGTTTCTTATTTATTTAATTTTTAACAAAACGTGTGTCCCAGCTGGGCAGGCAGGAAGACAACATTCTAATTAGTGTTCCTCCACTGGGTCAGTTCTCTGAGTCCCCCATAATGAATGATGTTGAACAGTGTTTCCATTAAACCCTGACGCTGCACGGAGCTCCGGGAGGAGGTGTTCGTGTCAGAGCCCACGTGCTGCCTAAAGAGGGAGAGATTGACATGACAGCCATGAAGATGGAGGTTCCCTCGTTACCCAGCTGCTCTCCGTTCTTGTGACTATCATCAGTTTTTTGTCTAAATGTGTTGCAAATACAAATCATAAAAATAAGTGATTAACTACCACTTGATGGCAATTTGCTTATTGTTAAATACACAACTTCTTTCCCCTGTGCAGCACTTTCGAGGAGACCCTTCTATCTAACGCCCTGCTGAGTGTGATTACCTGTCTTGGGCCACTGCCTGTTCTTCATCTTGTAGTTACCCAGCCTCTAAGTTCCGGTGTGGGAAACTGCAGGTGTTAACAATAGCACGCCTTCACTGAGTACTTACTCTTTTGAACACTGTGCTGTGCTCCTTGTGGTGTTATCCCGTGAATCCCTAACAAATTCTACAAGGCAAATATTATTTTTGGCCATATTTTACCAAAACAAGGAGCCTGAGGCTAAGGGACTAGATGCAATTTGCCTAATAATATGTAACAAGCAAGTGGCAGCCTGATGACTTGAATACAGGTCTGAGTGAACACATGTTAAAATCCTGACCAAACACCATGTAAGCTCCCTAGAGAACATAAAGCATGATGGGCTGCACCAGGGCATGATATTCCTGATTCACCCTTAGCAGTTTCACCTTCCACCATCTAGTGGGAGGACTGTGGGGCCCAACGTGGTAGAGTGGCTTAGAGCATGCAATTTCACCTAGAACTGCAGAAATGCAAAGACCCCATCTGTAATTTCCTACTGTGTGGCTTTGACAAATTAATATTTTAAAATTAAATTCTGTTATTATTTGAACAATGTCTTGTTCAATAATGAACAATTTGAATTGTTGTGAGAATTGGGAGATAATACACGAAAAGCCCAGTGTCCCTGACAAAGAGTAAGTTCTCAAAAATGAACACTAATAACTGTCACAGCCAAGAGTTGCCTAGGAGATGTGACAAATATGGTATCCTGGATGGGGGCCTGGAACAGAGCACATTAAGTAAAAACTAAGGAAATCTGAAAGTATGAACTTCAGTTAGTAATATAGTATCAATACTATTTCATTAATTGTGACCAATGCAACATACTAATATAAGACATTAATATTAGGGGAAACTGGGTCTGGGATAGGTAGGATCTATCTGTCCTATTTTCACAGTAATTCTAAAAATCTAAGCCTATTCTGAAACAGTTTATTAAAAAATAATAGTTACTAACTATGGATTCATACCCGAGTTTCTATTATTTTTAAAAATCATAATTTCTGTTCTTTTTAAAGATCAACATATACAACATGCAGACAGGTGTCAGAGACTATATCTGGAAATGGATCCATTTTTAGAAGAGCAAATGGGCAGACAAATATAGGTCCAATGAAAAGCAATTACACATTGGCTTGCATTTCAGACAAGCTGTAGGAACAGAATCTGTGCCAACTTCTTAAGGCTTGCATGACTTAAATAAAATTTCCATAAATAAAATACCTTTATCAAAGTTCGTTTGGAATAAATATATATATTTTCAATTTTTTTAATGTTTATTTTTGAGAGAGAGCCCGACACGGGACTCAAACTCACCAGCTGTGAGATCATGACCTGAGCCGAAGTTGGATGCTTAACCGATTGAGCCAGCCAGGCGCCCCCGGAATAAATATATTTGTATGCCTATTTAGGCATGTGTATATTTTATTATATGTTATTAGTCAAAAATAAGAAAATAAGCACCTTAAGCAGAAGTTTTGGTTTCTTTTAAGTTTATGTATTTATTGACTTAACTAATCTTAGCACCAAATGTGGGGCTTGAACACACCACCCTGTGATCAAGAGCCACATGGTCTTCTAACTGAGCAGGAAGGTACCCCAGAAATTTTAGTTTCTTAACAGGGGAAGTATAGGGCATATTTGAGATATGTTTACCAACTAGTGAACCAAGGTAGATCTTACAGTATTCAGACTTCATATTTGGCTGAAATCTTTATGGGTATCAGGTAAAAATACTATGAAAGGAAAGTGTGGAGTATTTTTGCAGTAAAGGACAGATATTTGTTGATAATATTTAGGTCTACACCAGTGACTTCTCTGTTCAGAAGTGTTAACCCCTTAGTGGCAGGAAGACACCAAGCCTTTACTTCTGACAGACCATCAAAAAATGCAAAGAACACAGAATGTTCATGATCACAGAAAGGAATAATTGCTATATGCACCAAAGACAAACCACACACGTGCATGTATGCACATGCTGCCTATATTCCCCACAGTCTGTAAAAGACTCTAAGTCATTTATAGATGCTTGATGGGCCCGTTTGCACAAGATGCCTCTGCCTGGAGCAGAGACTGTGAAGTTAAAGAAAGACAAAGTACTTTCTCTGAGACGTAACCTTTTAACACTTGAGAGAAATGGTCTTACTTGCTTTTGAAGTAGAATGCTGCACAGAACATGCCCACGATGACAATTCCAAAGATGATACATGAAATTGACAGCACCTGCCTTTGATAAACTTCTTCACTCTCTGTGAATTTGAAAAACAGAATTAGAATTGATGTTAGCAGGGTACGGCAGAGATAATTTTCATCCTTGTACTTCTGAGTTGGTAGGAGCTTTTCAGAGCAAACTTTTTTGTCCCTGTCATGAATAGAAAAACATAAGGAAGTTATTATGATTCAATTTCTTTGCAATTGTCTACAGGCTAGCTGGTTATTTTTTGAATATGCATGTATATTTTTGATCAAGTACAGATATCATAATTATGAATCTTATTATCAAGAGACATTCTACAAATTTAGCACATACTGGGACATACATTTTTGAAATTATAGTGGAGCCTAAAATAATCTTCTAGAGAAACAAATATGTGTCCATCAGAATTTTCCTGTGCCAGTGATGGCTTCCAATTTATTTTATGTGATACTGATGCCACTGTATTTTCTGATTTGGTCCTTCTCTGTCTGTCTCCCATTCATCCATTCACTACTATGATTCACATCACTAATGACAGACAACTTCAATATGTGTGTGAATATTTATTCACCCAATTCTTGACTTCCTCAATACCAATGATCTGGCACAGTAATCTCAACCTCTATTACCAAGGTCATATCTGATAGCTTCTTATCACACACACATGCACACACACACACACACACACACACACACAAGAATTCAAATATAAGCATGCTACTTTTTAGCCATTACCATTTACAATCCCAGATCATTTCTGAAATATGTCTACTGAAACAGATCTTCCAGCTCATCAGACCTTTTTATCTATAGATCTCAGAACTTTCTGTTAATTATCCTCCTCTTGTCTTCATTTTCTTTCTTTATACGGCATAGAGACTATGATCCATGATTACAGTCATTCACTCTCTTGCAAATATGCCCAGCTACTATATCTCTTTTTTCTTCCCTTTTACCCATTTGGCAAAATAACTGCATACATATCCAAGAAACTGCCTTCTTCATACCTCTCCCTTGAGCAGCTCAGAATTGGGAGAGAAGATTGTACAGTTGGGAAGAAGGACATCAATACAGTTGACAAGAGCATTGCTTAAGTAGATAGCTGATAGTGACTAACAATCGCATCAGCCTGCTTCTGCATTTTCCTGATTACCCATAACTTCAGCGTACTATTCAAACATTTGACTTACTCTCCCTTCTCTCACTTTCAGATTTTCCATATATATAAAGAAAAGGAAGTCAGCATAGTATAAATCATCTCTATTTATAACACAAAATATACAAAATTAAGTGCATCTGTATCTATTCCTTTTGTTTCTTTACATAGTGTGGTACCTCTCAAACTTTACTATATATTGGAGTCCCCTTGAGAGCTACTGAGGGACAGATGGCCACCTACTTTCTCTCCCAGAGTTACTGATATAGCAGGTATGAACTGGGGATGGAACATTTGCAGTTTCTTAAAAGTTCCAAGGTGATTCTGATGCTGGCCTGTGAAACATATTTGAGAACCACTGAATAAAAATCTTTGGAACACGGATCAACCATGTAAGAACAAGGGAGATTTCTTTGTTGTTAATGCCAACATGGTATGGTATCCATATTGGACCTTCTAAATGAAAATCTTTACTTGAATGAAAGTTTCAGGTGTTTCTCATGCATCCTGAGAGAGAATGACTTAATTGAAAAAAGTACTATATTTTTTCTTAAAGACTGATTCCTTGGGTCCCACTCTCTTCCCTCATCCCGGGGTCTTCTCATCACTTAAAATTGAAGGAAAGGGAAAACATTGTTTTTTCTATGTTGTTTCTATGATACCAGCATTATCTTTATACCAAAACCAAAGGTATAAAAAGAAAGTAACTTATTGACATATATCCTACATTGATATGCAAAAATTATTAACAAATTTTAGAAAATAAAATCCAATAAGATGTTAAAAGTAATACACTGTGACCAAGCGGGGTTTATACAAGGAATATAAGGTTGGTTTAATATTGTAAAATCGATCAATGTGTTCACAATTTTAACAGTCAAGAAAAAAATTGTTTAATTATCAGAATACAGGGGAAAATTACTTAACAAAATCTAACATTTATTTCTTATTAAAACTCTCAAAAACTTAGAAAGGAACTTCTTCACCCTGATGAAGAGTATCTATACAGCACCTATACCTAATTGTAATAGACTGAATGCTTTTCTGCTAAGATCAGGGGAAGATACAGCAAAAATATCCACTCTTACTATTTCTATTCAACACTGTACTGGAGGTTTAGTTAATGGAATTAGGCAAAAATAGAAATTAAAGTCATTGATTTTGGGAAAGTAGAAGGAACATGATCTTTGTTCTCAGACAACATGATCATCTATGCAGAAAAGCTTATGGAATCTACAAAGAGCTAGTGTAACTAATAAGTAAGCTTAGCAAGCTTTCATGATACGAAGTTGCAGGATAAACAATAAAAATTAAATGTATGCCCATTTAAAAGCCACAAATAATCAGAAATTGAAATTAAGGTATCATTTACAGAAGCATCAAATATATATAAAGTACACAGAGATAAATCTGACAAAAGATACACAAGGTCTATACACTGAAATTTGCCGTATGTTATTGAAATAATTTAAAACCGAAATCAATGGAAAGATAAAAACATGGTCATGAATTAAAAGACTCAATATTATTAAGATGTCAAACCTTCTCAATTTGATGGATAGATTGAGTGAAATTCTATTTAAAATCTCAGGAGGCATTTTGCTGTTGTAAAAACCAATAAGATGATTCTAAATGTTCTATGGAAATACAAAAGATCTAGAGTAGCCAAAACAATTTTTTTTTTATATATAACCAAGAGAACAACACTGAAGGTGTCAAACTACTTTATCCCAAGACATTTTATAAAGCTATAGTAATCAAGGCAATATAGTATTGGCCTATTTATAGACAGATAAATCAATGGAACAAACAAAAGAGTCCAGAAATGTATGCGAACATTTGTGGCCAGTTGATTTTTGATATAGATGCCAAGGCATTCAATGGGAAAGGATATTTTCAAAAAATGATATTGTCATAATAGTGTACCCATAGCCACTAAAATGAACCTTGACCCTGACTTCATAGCTTCTTCAAATATAAATTCATGATGAAAAACAGACCTTAATATAATATTTCATACTATGATACTTTTAGAAGAAAATGTACAAGAAAATCTTAGTAATCATGGGTTTGACAAAGATTTCTTAACTATAACACAAAAAATAGGAGCTATAAAAAATTTTAAATCAATAAAATGAACTATGTCCAAATTCACAGTCTTTAATCTTCAAGACCATTATGAAAAGGAAAAAAATGAAAATGAAAGGAAAAAAAAAACAGGGAAATTCTGGGGAAAAAAAACTCTGCAAAATATGTACTCAACAATAGAGTTGTGTCTATAATATGTAAGAATCTCTTATTGTTCAATAAGAAGACAAACAACACAATTTAAGAATAGACAAAATATTTGAATGAACACTTCTTCAAAGATATATAGATGGTAAATACATAAAAAAGACACCTAACATCATTAGTCATTATAGAATTGAAATATGAACTATAATGAGATATAAGGCATCACTAACAGAATGACTAATATTAAAGGCTGGCCATACCAAGGGTGTGAACAATTTCTATTCTCGTGTACTTCTGGTAGAAATGAAAAATGGTATAACCACCAAAAAAGTAGTTTAATATAAAGTTAAACACATATCTACCTTATGACACAGCCATTCCATTCTTGGGTATTTACCCAAGACTAATGAAAGCATATGTTCATTATGTACATAAGAATTCATAGTGGCTTTATTTGCAATAGCAAAAAAAAAAAAAAAAAAAAAAAAAAAAAAAAAAAAAAAAAAAAAATCTGGAATAATCCAAAGGCCCACTACCAGGAAAATAATAAAAAAAACTGTGGTATAGCCATATAAGGGAATCTTACTTAGCAATAAAAAGGAATGGATTAGTGATATAAGCAATTCTACACCTGAATCTCAGAATAACTAGGTTGAGTGCAATAAGTCAGACAAGAAAAAGGTGCATGTTGTGCTACTGCAGTTATATAAAACTGGAAATTTTAAACTAACACGTAGTAGCAGAAAGCATGTAACTGGACACCTGGAGTCAGGAGTAGGGAGGAGTGGAGGAAAGAGACTACAAAGTGATATGAAGAAACTTTGGGGAGTTATAGATATGTTCATTGTCTCAAGGATGAGGTTTTCATGATGAATATTTATGTAAAAATGTAGCAAATGATAAATTTTAAATAAGTGTTTTCTTTTATGTCAAGTACAATAGCAAAATATTAATCCTGAGGGACAAAAGAATACAGAGAATATATAAGTGTATACATAATATCAAAAGATATGTATGACTAATACAACGTTGTCCACCCATACTACCTAGTCTCTTTCTTCTACCATGTCTAACATTCAACTTTTTAGAGTCTTGATATGTAATATTCTCTTTCTCCCTCCTTAATATTATTCTTGTATTTGTCCTTTAAATGTCTACTTACCTTTTTGGTCTCAAATTTTGTGTCATTGGCTCAAAAACTCTTGCACTGCACTTTAAGCTTCATTGGTTCAAGGGACCATGTTTTTGTTGACCTATTTGTTTGATTCACTGCTACTTCCCCATCACCTAGTGCAGTGCTTCTTACACAGTTGACACCACAAGACTTATTGTCTAGTGAATAAGAGGATATTTCTGTCTTTATAGGGATTTTCTGCTTTCAGCTGTGCATCAACTGATACATCAACTGTCACCTGGGGATGCTTTTCAAGTTTACTACTTCTCCTTTATCCACACCATGTCCTCTCAGGCTTCCCACACATCCTCCTTTCCTAAATTGACCACCAGTAACTGACACTATGCATTCCTGAAATCTATACCTGGCTCCTTTCAGTGGGGCTCTCCCATTCAAACCTGGCCTTCTCACTGTGACTCTAGACTCACAAAGTCCTTTCCAGAGGGCAAAGTACCATAAGGAAAAATGGTAAAGCCATGCATTTCAA